TTCCCCCTTGAGCTATGTACTTACCTCTTGAAACTGCTAGATATTGCCACAAGTAGTTATAAATTAACTTAATAATACACATCAGACACTATAACCCACACCCTATATCTTAACGATAGATAGCCAATCAATAATCAACGTTATTTCTGAAAACCAATAGGAATCCTTGACAAAAAACTTTGCACCAGCCCACTCACTGTCCTCCCTTTTGCCTTTAAAATCCTCTTCTATCTGCTACTAATTGCAATGGACAAGGCTAGAATCTAATAACAAGTGCACTATAGTTTTCTTCTGAAGCATAATTTCTTCCTCCAGTTCTCCATTTTTACCAAAAAATTAATCTCTACTTATACTAATTTTGCCACAGTTTCTTCCTTTCAGGTAAACAGGATTATACCACATGACCAAGTGGGATTTTTCCCAGGAATGCAAGGCTGACTCAACATACAAAAATAAATCAATACACTATAACGTATTAACTGAATAAAGGGGAAAACACATGACAACCTCGATTGAAGCAGAAAAAGCTTTTGATAAAATACAACAACCTTTCAAGATGAAAACACTCAACAAAGTAGGAATTGAATGGCATTGCCTCAACATGGTTATGGGCAGCTATGAAGATCTCACAGATAACATTATATACTCAATGGGGAAAGGCTGAAAAATCTCCAAAAATCAGAAACAAGACAAAGGTGTCTAGTTTAATCACTTCTATTCAATTTTATATTGGAAGAGCAATTAGGCAATCAATCGATCAATGTCATCCAAATTGTAAAGGAAGATACAAAACTACCTCCATTTGCAGAGGACAAATCTTACAAATAGAAAATCCTAAAGAACTCACAAGAGCTAATAAATTCATCAAAGTTGCAGAAAGCAAGATCAACATACAAAAATTAATTGTATTTCAGCCAGGCGTGGTGGCTCACACCTGTAATCTCAGCACTTTTGGAGGCTGAGGCAGATGGATCACTTGAGGTCAGGAGTTTGAGACCAGCCTGGCCAACATGGTGAAACCCCGTCTCTACTAAAAATGCCAAAATTAGTCGGGTGTGATGGGGTGTGCCTGTAGTCCTAGCTACTTGGGAGGCTGAGGTACGAGAACTCCTTGAGCCCAGGAGGTGGAGGTTGCAGTGAGCCAAGATTGTGCCATTGCACTTCAGCCTGGGCAACAGAGTGAGACCCTGTCTCAAAAAAAACCCAAAAAACAAAAAAACAAAAAGTTGTATTTCTAATCACTAGAGATGAACAATTGTAAAAGGAACTTAAGAAAACCATTCCATTACAATCACATCAAAATGAAAAAAATACCTAGGAATAAACTAAAGAGATACAAGACTTCTACACTAAAAACTATAAAACATTGTTTAAAAGAAAATAAAGAAGACCTAATTAAATGTAAAGGCATCCCATGCTCACAGACTGAAAGACCTAATATTGTTAAAATCGCAATATTCCCCAAAGTCAAGCGAGCCCCAACTTCCTTTCTTTGCAGAAATGGTTAAGTTGATCCTAAAATTCATATGGAATTACAAGGAACACTGAATAACCAAGCAATCTTGAAAAGAAGAACAAAGTGGGAGGTCTCACACTTCCCAATTCCAACATGTTCTACAAAGTGACAGTAATCAAAACAGTATGGTATTGACATAAGCACAGACGTATAAATCAAAAGAATAAAGATTCCAGAAATCAACCCATACATCTACAATCAGTTGACCTTTGACAAGGGTGCCATGCTCATTCAATGGGGAAAAAATGGTGTCTTAAACAATTAAATAAAGTGATCGAGACCATCCTGGTCAACACGGTGAAACCCCGTCTCTACTAAAAATACAAAAAATTAGCTGGGCATGGTGGCGCGTGCCTGTAATCCCAGCTACTCAGGAGGCTGAGGCAGGAGA